TCCGGGACCCACAGGCAGCAGCGCCGCAGCAGGAACCCAGCTCAGCTCAGCTCAGTGGTGATGCTGCAGGAGCCCCTGCAGCTCCTGCTCCAGGCCCTGCTGAGCACCTGGAGCAGCTCTGCTGGGTGGTGGCACCCCTGGTCTGCCCCCTCTGCTCACTTGGGTACCAGCAGCCAGTGGAAGGGAGCAGGAGAAGGCTGCAGAGGCCCAGGCATTATCTTGCTCCCCAGCAGGGTGGAGACCCTCCGGGACAGACTCATGCCCTGCATGGACACCAGAACACCTTGAGCATGTCAGGGTGGAGAGATACCTGCTTCCTTCTCCATAGGGAAACACCTTGGGAGCTGCCACTGTAAGGCCAGAGCTGCAGATGGTGTCAGCCCTCCCTGCAGCAGAAGCCACTTCTCCCTCCCAGACCTGCTCAGTGGGGCTGGAATAAGATGAGTGAGGACACCAAAGATCTCTGTGTGGGGAAACAGCTCCAGAACAAGAACCTCTTGGCCTGTAAGCTCACCCTGTCAGCAACCTAGTGGCACTGCTCACTGCCAGCTCAGCAATGGCACCAGCATCACCCAACAGCAGAGCTTGACCCAAAACCTTGAAACCCGTTGTGTCAGCACAGCCAGGGCAGGCCCATGTGCCATGGGACATGGCTCAAGCATTGTCCTCACTCCTGGGCTGCTCACCCCTCTCAGGCACTAACACAGTTCAGCACTTCTTGCTTTACTGCCCATGGCACAAACCAACACCCCGAGGCTCCTGGCAAAGGTCCCGTGCTTGTGTCTGTGACACGAATTGACAAAGCTCTTAATGAAACAAGCCTTTCAGGAGCCCAGCTGCTTTCTCTTCGCCATACAGAGATGGTTTGTTAGAAGCATCACCTGACAGCACTGCCTGAGGAGGAAGGACAGGAACTGCTGGGTTTTCTTTGCATTTTGAGCATTTCAAAGCATAACAAGTGTTTTCACGCTGCGTGTCCAGCGCCTGGTAGAGGCTATGGTTCACAGTGAGGGTTCTACTTGCCACCAGAACACAGGGAATAAGCAGTGATGATGAAATGATGACAGAGAACAGCTCAGAAGATGATTTCCATCAGGGCTGAGGGGCACAGTGTGCATCCAGCCCCTGCTGTGGGCAGCATTCCTTGCCCGCAGGGCTGCCAGCCCTGCCCTAACAACAGGACACCTGGTAAACACCCCACAGCCTGCACAGCCAGTCCAGCTGCAGATGAGAAAACTGAGGGTTTTCCAAGAAGTCCAGCCTCACGAGCCCTCCTTCTTGCTAAATCACAGAAGGCAGCAAATGGGGGAAAGACAGGTCATACCCTGGGCATGGACACGAGGGCAGGAGCTGGGAGCCAGCCCTGGACTGGGGAGCAACCAGGCCAGGCAGGGAGGCAGGAGGGGCTGGCAGGGCTGCAGGGGGGATGCTGTGCTTCACACAACAGAGGTTTCTAGCTGTGCATTTTGCTGCTGGTCCTGAACCCTGCCAGGGCTGGCAAGGAGACCCCAAGGAGACCCCAGCCCCAGCGTTGCGGACATGGCACAGGGAGGCTCCTGAGGTCCTCACCTAAGAGCAGCAAGGAGTGTGTGAGCAGCTCTCTGTGAGGGGTGGGCTGGGGCTTCCATGGGGAAGGGGATTAGGTGGGATGAGGGGAAGGAGCAGGATGTGGGGCTGGGCAGCTTGTTCCAGCTATGAGGAATTAGCTTCTCCTCCTGCTGCTGGACAGGAGGAGCCTGTCTATGTCCTGTTAGCAGCTCTGGCTGTGTCCCAGGAGGCAACTCCAGGGAGAAGTGAGGGGTAACAAAATCAGATGCTCTGCAGGTCCCAAAGGCAGGCAGCAGGCCCAGCAGCCTTCCCAACCACAGGGACCTCCTCTCTGCTTTTGGCCTGGACTCCCCTCCCTCAGCTCACAGATTCTTGCAAATCTAAGAACAAGCCTAAAACTGGCTTCCACATGGAACTGGCAGGAAAACCCTGGTGTTTTTTAGCGATAAATATTCTCAAGTGCTTCTTGTAATGATACACAACAAAGCACAGGGGAGGCATTAAGCCTCCCAGCAAGCTTTAGAAATACTGCTCTTCTGTACCCTAGCAGCATATGTTCCACCACAGGGACCTACATGAGGTTTTATGTTGAATCAATAATGAGGATATTAAACTTCTTGCAAATATTTCACCTGCTAATAAATTTCCTACTAGCTGACCACTCAATTAATTCCTGAGATGTTTGATTTCTATGCCAACAAAATCATAAGAGCACTGAGCAAAAGCTTTTTAAGTAACAATGTCTTTAGAGAAATTAAATTGGGATAGGAGGTGGGACAGACAGAATCCCACACCTGATGCTCAGGAATAGTTACTTTAAAGTACCTGAAGTAAAGCTGGGAAAGGTAAAATGGCTGAAACTAGCCCAGAGCAGCCCAGAGCAGAACTATTTGCTGCTCACCTGGTTCCACCTTGTATAATAGGCAGGAAGAGGCTGTACTTTGCTGGAATGCACCTTCCTGGGGAAGGGATACCAGGATAGACCCCAGGGAGGGAGGACAAGGCTTGGCTGCTCTTCACAGGTAAGGCTTCCTCCTCCAGCTCTTGGGAGAAATGCTGCACATCAGTGGTGACAGCTGTGCCCAAGTGGAACCAAGTATTTCAAAGGCTTTTGTGCCCACCCTGCTGTGAAATACCCTTTCTGTGCTGGGTGCCAGGAGTCAACCTGCCATGAAGGCTGTGTTCAGAAGGATCCTTGCTGGGGGGAACAAAAGGGGAGTGTTTCCCTTGGAAGGATGGAGCTGTGCCTTCAGCCATGTCACATCCTTTCTTACTCATCCTCTGGATGGCTGGTCTCCTCCCTAAGAGGCAGAAGGAGCTGTTGGTGTGACTGAGCTTGGTGCTCCAACAGCAAGGCCTGGAGAAGGACGTGGCTTTTTTCCTGCCTTGAGCTCTCCAGTGAGTGAGCTCTTGGCTGTTGTGGACATGCAGGGTATGAGCTCTGTGCCCTGGGTTCTTCTATCCTGCCAAGGGTCTCAGAGGTTTCACAAACAGGTGAAGTCACAGGAAGTGAGGCTGAGCAGAACTCCCCTTTTCTCTGGATACTGAGGACTAGCACGTGGATTTGAGATGGTGGAGATATCCAGACTGACTGCTGGCAAACAAGGCAGCAAAATATTCCTGTGCTTGCCTAAGGAACTATTTAGAGCAAGAGGTCTGATAAGTATCTGCAGAGTGTAAAAACAAATTAACAAATCAAAGCCCTGTGGCAGAGACAAATTTATTAGGGTGTCAGAAATGGATGGAATGAGGACTAAAATGAAAACAAGGAAACGAAATGTTCCTGTCAGACAGAAGAATAGGTCCTGGCATTGAGATGGCTCCTGGGACTAGGCCAAAACCCAGGGGGAGGCCTGGGGCTGATGTCCAAGAGCTGTGGGGCAGGCTGCTGAGAAGGGAGCAGCAGGGATGAAGTATTCCTGCTTCCCAGAGCCTTCCCACTTGAGCAGGACTGACTCCACGTACTGTAGGAACAGATCATCCCTCTGCCAGCCCCGAGTCATCCCAGCTAACTTTAGACCCTTCACTGAGGCCCCCAAAATAGGAGCCCACACACTTCAGGTCTGCTGTCATCAATGGAGGAGAAGGGAGGTAGGCAGGAGGGTCTGAGTCCTGGGCATGAATCATCCCTGGAAATAGCTTCATCCCTTTCCTTCAACTTAAGAGGAGCCAGGAGGTGATTCCATGCCTTGATTTAACCTGAGGAAATACCTGACAAGATGGAGGCAGAAGGAATCTGCCTGTATGTCTCCTCTGGCAGGTGCAGGGCCTGTGGAAAGCAGCAGGCAGGGCCCTGCCTGCTCTGCACTGTGCTGAGGGATGGTGCTGGGAAGGGGGGAGCCTTGACATGTGCCTGGCTCTGTGCAGCTAGTGTTTCCACTGGGGCAGCAATCAAACACCAGCCCAGCGTTCAGAGCTGTCAGGAAAAGGGGTGTTGATTTTTAAAGGCATTTATCTAAAAAGCAACTGGATTTTTCAAAACCAGTTTTTCTAATTGATCAAAATCTGTTAGCTTTTGCATTTAATTAGGAGGCAACTGAGCCAACCTGTCAGCTGCTCCAGCTGGACCTCCATGCATGTCTCATCACTGGCTGGGGGGTTCATGAGACAGTGACAGGACTTGAAAGAAAGAAACTCTCAGCATCAGGCAGCTTTGCTTTCCACAGTCTGTGTCATCCCAGGTATTTTCTGCAGGACAAATCCTGAGCGTTGTGCTGCTCAAACCCTTTGCAGACTCTAGGGCTGTGGGCCGTGGTAGTTTTGCCTTCCAGGCTAAACCAGAGACCTGCCTGGGGAGCAGCAGCTTTTGGGAGCACAGCCCAACACTCCTCCCAGGAAGCTGGAGTCACTTGTGCACTTTATCTGGCAACTGTGGTGAGGCTGAGCTGTGGTGAGTGACGTCTTGTCTGACCAGCCCCTGGGTCGTGGACCTGCTGATGCCTTCAGCAATCATTTTGTTTAATGTAGCAAGTTTTTCAGATCATAATTTATTGGCAAGTCAGCCCGAGAGATAAATCTGTTAACATTATGATTCAGACACACATTCTCTCTGCTCTGTTTCCTTTTAAATCTTCTGAACTTTACAAAGGGCACAGAGTGACAGGGTGTTTAAACATCCCTAAGGTTTCTCATCCAAATGGGATTACCCCACAAGAGATGGGAGCTGACCTAACCACTGCTTTCCCTGCACAGCTGGTAACTCTGCTAAGGCTGAAGAACCAGAAGATCTGACTTCTACCCAGATTCCCTCTTAATTTTACCAAGACCAGTTCTTTGTGCAGCCAGGATTTTAAAAACACAGCAAGAAAACAGGCAAAATGCACAACAAAAGTGTCAGACTCTTTGAAAAGACAAACCATGGGAACAGCAAGGGAACAGCAAGGACAAACAGCTTGGTCCAAGTCATACCCACAGGATCCAAGGAGCAAAACAGCATTTCTGATGGAGAGAGAGGAGGTGCTGATCCCCTGTGAGCACAGGAGAGATGCAGAGCAGTGGCAGCTTTCCACTGCAAAGTCAAGCTCAAAACTGAGGGAGAGAAAAGCACCACTCCTCAAGCAGAACCAGGAGGAGAACCAGGAGATGTGCAGCAGATGGGTCCCACCACTGGGGAGCTTTTTCCTGTTGACTCCACCAGAGAGAGCAGCAGCAAGCAGCTGGGCAGGTGCTGTAAAGCTTCTTGAAGAAAACCTGCTTTACTTCAAAGAGGGGCCAAAACTGACAGCTCCAAGTGCTACAGGGAAGGAACCTGCTCATTTATGTATTTGGTTTTGGAAGTGGGAGAGAAAGTTCATGCAGCCAGCCCTACTTCTCTGACCCTGCACAAGACATGATGGTTCAGTAATTCCAGATCCAGAACTGGACAAACACGAGAATGATTCCATTGTCAGCTACCCTTGGGCTCCCAGCACTGGCTGGAGTCTCCCCCTGGAAGCACAGGGGATTTACAGGAGCCACAGATCTTTTCCACAAACTAACTGTGCAAGATGCAGGGAGTATGAGGTTCTCCAGTTCCTGTGGTGTGTGTGATACCTGCTGCAGCAGCTCAGGGGGCCAGTTCCCACAGTAATAGTTCAATAAATGAACGTGGAACCACAGCAGCAGAATTTAATAAAGGGAAGAGAAGAGATGGATTAAACTGAGCCTAAGCCAGAATCCACAGAGCCTGCAGCCAGCAGAGAGGAGGTAACCCAGGCCACCCTTCCTGCCAGGCACAAGGAAACCTTGTATAGAAAAACAGATTATCTTTCTTTCTGACCATCCTTCCTGCCCCACTGCACTGCCCTCCCTGCTGCCCTGCTATGCTGCACAGCATCCTCTGCTGGGGGCACTCAATTCCTAAGGGAAAATGGGACAATGGCAAAGTGAAGTCTCAGAGAAGGCTGGGACTCCAACTACTGGATCGTGCCCCTGATGCAGCCCTGCAAGGTGGGCACAGCCAGCTCCCTGCCACCTGCCAGGGCCTGCAAAGGAATCACCTTCTGCCTCTGGGGTTTGCTTTAGCAGCTCAACCAAGGTCACCCACCTAGGGCTGCTCCTACAAAACTTGATCCAATGTGTCCTGCAGGCTACGTCTCCGCTCCTGCCCAGATGAGAGCCTGACAGGCCAGGGAGCATTCCTGGTCCTCCAGAGCAGGCTGAAGGATTGCTCTCCCTGCCTGCAGGCCCTGGAGCTGCTCAGCAGCCACCCCTCAGCACAGAAACCTCCTCCCCAGCACCCTGCTGGCCACACGCCCCTGTGGCTTGGTCAGCAGCAGGTGAAAGGACCGATTGTCCCATCCTGGGGCAACACAAAAGCCAGCTCAGATGGAGCCACATTCAACTTGAAGCCATCAGTAAAACAGATGGCACCCTGGCAGTGTGACCAAACCCGGCTCACAAGGGTTGATACACCAGGATAACCCACATGATCTTGACACTTGAGGCATCCAGAAGCTGCACAAACAGCAGGAGGAGCCAGGGCCGCGACCGCTCCTTACTTGTGGGAGATGATGGTGGGGGGCAGCTGCTTGTGATCCCCAGCCAGGATGCACTTGGGAGCCCTCAGCAGAGGGATCCAGCAGCTGGCTTCCAGGGCCTGGGCACACTCGTCTATCACCACCAGGTCAAAGTGATTGTCAGGCAGCAGCTTCAGCGGGCCATCGGGGGAGGCGCCTGATTCAGGGAGAAGGGGCACAGTGAGCTGGAAGCACGGAAGAACAAGCAACCTGTTTTTGACACAAACACCCTTTCATTGTGATGGAGGGAGGCAGGTTAATATTTCCTTGCAGAGATTTAGAAATTCAGCTCTGTACTCCAGGCCAAACACACACATTTACGTGTGTATGTCAGAGTTGTTTTTGCCAACTTCTGTGTGTCGTTGTTTGTCCCAGCATCTGGACTCAAAAGCTTCCAAGTATCTTTGAAAACAACAGTGAGACCCTAGTGACAACCAGAATGATGTGCTGGAATACCTCACCCAGAGCAGGAGCAATCAACACCCACCTTCCCTCTGCCCTCAGATGCAAACAGACCCCCTCACCAACAACTGGAAGGACGACAGACCTGAGACTCACCCTGCCTGACACACCAAGAGGGAAAGCTCAGTTGAGGCCCTGACTCCTCTGCCCTGCAGACCCCAGCTGGGCTGCTCTGTCCTTCCTCATGGCTGTTTCTTTACATCAGATGTCCACTTCTGATGTCAGCCCAGTAACCCTTCCACAGGCCCTGCTGAATCCAGACATGAACCAATATTGATCCACACACTGATCAGAACAGTGAATTTCAGAGGCATCAAAAACATCCCTGCAATTTGTAAGAAAAAGGGGTGCAGAAGGAGGAGAGGAGGATTTAGAAGCCAGCATGCCAGACAAGGAGAATTTTGTTAACAAAAGCCTTTTTTAAAGGCTCCCAAGACCCTGCAGTGCAGCTCTGAAGACAGCTCTGATCAGGGTGATGCTGCTTTGTCAGTGTAGCCTCTGCAGCCCCACGTTCCTCAGGTGTTACAGGCTCTCAGCTGACACCCCACCTTTTCCTTCCAAAACATTTTTTCCCAGCTCTGGAAACGAGGGGCATATAACCTGAGCCTGACTTCTGCAATTCTGCCATGCTGAAGGTGGAAGGAAAAGAACTAAGCAGGCACGTTGTGTGTCTGAAACAGCCTGGACTGTGTGGCAGGAGCTGTGCGGGTGGTTCTCCTCCCTCCCAGCCCTGCAGCTCCACTTGAGTTGATCGACCTCCCATTAGCTAAAGGTCACTGCTGTCCCTGTCTATTGCTATGATTACAGTCTCTCTCTGCTGAGCCTAGCAACAGAGCACTCTGGCTTGCATAAAGAAGAATCCCTGTCAAACTACGTGGTTTCAGACAATTACCAAGATTGATTAACTGAGGAAAACGCAAAATCCAACCCCCCTGTCTGTCCATCCCCTTTTGCTGAAGCAGAATTGCACAGACCTGCCCACTAGCAAGCCCCAGAGCCCCAGGGGACAATCACATCTGCTCACACAATGGTCACTTTTACTGGAAAAAGGAAACCTCTCCCTGTTTTTACAGGCAAAGTTAAAAGAAGGGAGAGACCAATTCCCAGCAGATATTGCACGGGAAGGATTTTTCTTTCCTTTCACCCTCACACCAGGAACACCCCACCAGCTTCTTTTTTTATGACCTAAAACCATTGATGTTTCCCTTCAGCAAATAATCCCTGAGCAACCAAATCTGAAGATTTTAAGCAGGCCCTGGAGTATCACACATCAGGTCTAGCAAAGCACATCAGCAGGTGGTGAACTTGCAGCCTCTCTGCTCTGGTCCATGCCCAGGGTGTTCCCCTCCTGCCTGCAGGTACAGACGTGCCCACCAGCACTGCCTGAGGAACCCCTGGAAATGTTCCCTGATTCCCAGGTTGTTTACAGCCCTTGGGTGACTCATAGAACTAACCAAGTCCATGTAGACTGAGACCAGCCTATGGACACGTGCTGTATTTCATGGGTCACAGAAATGACCCAAGCAGGAAAGCAATTCCACGTGCCTGGTGAACTCAATGGGCAGGCTGCACAGCTCCCCTTGTCTGCTCACTGACAGCTCAGCTCCTGCTCAGAACTAACCAAGATGGGCCACACTGGCTCACACCAAAGGCCCTTCTAGACCCAGATTCTTTGCTGAAAAACATCATCCTGTGCCAGTGTGAGCAGGGAGAATCCCACCATGGGGGAGTTTGAGAACATGCTGCACCCTTGACTGAACTCCCGGGAGCTCAGAGCAGGAAGACTAAGTCTCCCTCCTCCCCTGGCAGGATGGTGCACTGCAGGGTTTACCTGAGTGCTGGCAAGTAAGGGAAAACACTGCACAGGAGGATCTCCCACCTGTATTCGTGGCAAGGATGACACTGGCATGGGTGAGGGCTGCAGCCATGGCTGCCTCTTCTCGTTCCTTCAGCTCCTTTCTCAGCACCTTAATCTCACTCAGAAAGTGGCTTCGCTCCCCCTTGTCTTGAGCCTTTTTGGTTTTTGCCTATAAAACAGAAAAATCAAGGTAGAACAGCTTCTAGGGGAATTTTCAGCTTCTCAGACAACCAAAGGCCCAGGTGCAGCATGGCTTCTCTGTGTCCTCCAGGACACACCAGCTCATTGTGACCAGCCCCAGCCAACCTCGGCTTCTCCCCCTCCCCCTGCCAGGGACCCCCTTCAGCTGCCTGAAGCATGAGGAGTGTTTCTGTCTGTGCAAAAGATATCAACACAACCCCAGGTCCCTCAGCAGCTGCTTAGGCCAAGGAGGAACCAGGACCTCCTACCTCCTCCTGCTCTGCTGCTCAGGGGAAGCAGGGACCCTCTGGCTCCAAGTGACCTTGAAGCAGGAGGGTTCCCCAAGCTGGCTGTGCCATCTCCGGCCCAAGCAGCAGCTCTGCATTTTTAAAAAGGCATCTCTGAGCTGCTGAAATGGCTGAGCAGTATCTAGACAGGTTCATGGCTTGTTTCAGCAACACCTGTTAAATGCATCTTAACACCTCAACTCATCACCCCTGCTCCCCCAGCTACAGACCAGCAGCTACAGGACAAGGGCCAGGCCTTGGCTCACTGGGAGTCACCTTGAGAGAGCTACTGGCACTCTCTGATGGAAATTTGGCTGATGTCCTTGGAGGTAAGGCTGATGACTTCAGAAACCTGAAAAAGCTGCAGCCAGAAGCTTCTAGAAGCAGCCAGAACAATAGGACTTGATGGTTGCTATAATCACCCTCTGTCTGGATGGATCCTCCAGTGTTCAATGTGGTTCAGGTCACACTGCAGCCTGTCTCTGAGGAAAGACACGTGTCTCACTCTGCTACTCAGCCACCTCTTGGGGTTAAACTTGTAGGTATTTAACACCTGTGAGACCTCTATGTGTCTGCCAGGTGTAGTCAGCAGTGGCTGAAGTTACAGGGAGGGATCAGACACAGATAGTGGTATCTCACAGGCATCTTCTCCTTAGCTGGATCTAAAGGGACAGGTTGGGCACCAGTCCTGGCAGTCCCTGAGCTGACTGGCATCAACTGCCCCTCTGCTGGTACCAGAGGGAGGTCAGTGAGCAGGACTGATGGTGTTAGTAGGGCCTAGTTTCGTGTCTGTTCTGCAGAAAAGAACTAGTTAGTAAATTGTCAACAGCAACTGTTCTCTGCTGTTGGCTGGTGACACCAAGACCCAAACACACCTGGCTCCAGCTCTGGGAGCAGCTGGCTCCTCGTTAGGGCTCTGGGTGCCAGCAGGCTCTAATTGCCCTGACCTGCCTGGGGCCTCCACCCACACCCTCATTGGCCTGGGAGCTGCATTTAAGCTGCCCCTTCCCTGAGCTATAGGGTTTGTGTCCTGGGCCTGGTGTTTTCTCTGGGGTGGTTGCTGTGTCACCCTGGCCCTGCTCAACATCACTGGACTGTGCTGCCTTCCTTGCTCAGGTGCTGGTGACCAAGTGTCCAGAAGCTGATGTCCTGGAAGGCTTGAACAGGTGGGTGAAGGAGACACAAAGGGGTAGAAAATGTGCAGAGAATGTGTGGGTTTTCATTTCTGTTACTAGCTCTCTTGAGACTGGGGTAGTGGTAAAGGAAAGGAGTGAGAAGGGTCAAAATGTGGAGTGGACAAAGGAATTGTTAGAGGGGCAAGCAGGGGAAAAACTGAGGCAGGATGAGGGGAAGGTAGGTCAGGGCCTCAGAAGTGAGCTGTCTGTAGCCCAGAGAGAGAAAGAGATGTTGATGAGTCAGGGGCTTCTTCTGTGAAGGACCTGATCTCAGGCAGTTCTGAGCACTGCTACCCAGGCTGGATGGCAGTGGGATTGTAGCTTCTGGTTTTTTGTGGGGGATTTTGGGCAGAACAAGCCTTGGTGGCCAGTCCCTATCCCCATCACCACATAGCCCTTGCTCTAGGGAGAAAGCAGATGGAGACCTTGGTGCTGAAGGCTCTGCTTCCTCCCTAGCTTCCCTTCTACTGTGGAAAATCAAGAGTGGGAAAAAAACCTCCTCCTGAAGAGAGTAAAGGGACAATGAGACACTTGTGAGAAAAGCAGAAAAGTGAAGAAGGCTCAGTGTGGGATGTGACTACAGCCAGGCCTGGCAAGTACATTCCCTATGAACTTGTCTCTTGGCCACAAGTACCACTCGACCCAGCCCTGAGATGTCCTCTCCTTCCCCTGCACTGTGTGCAAGACCAGCCTATCTGCTCACTGCCAGCCATGGGATGAGTTGGGAAAACTGAAGCTGGTGGTGGCTGCAGATCAGTGTCCATGGAGCTGAGAGCCAGGTCTGGTCTGTGCTGTTCAAAGCAGCAAACGTGCAGGGCAATGAACTTGGGCAGCTGTGACCCCAGGAGTGTGCTGGGGTATGAAGGTGCCCTCCTGCTCCCTGCTGGAGACAGGCCCACTCCTGAGCTGGATGCACCTGCAAAATGGCTTCTGGACAAGGCTGCCACCAGAAGAGGGAAGAAAAATGCTCCTCAGTATCAAAACCTCTCCTCTCGGGTGGAAGAGCCTCTTTGTCAATTGAGTTTAGGAAAATTAGGTTGTGAAAGAAGAAATTAAGGATGGATTTTTATAGTTCACTCTGCTTTCTACTTGAGGTAGCTGAGAGTGGGAGGGAGTGTCAGGACAGCCAGACAGCTTGTTAGGAAGTGACTTAATGATGTGAACGTTTCTCTGGTGAAGAGGATGGCATGAACAATGCCAGACAGATAATCTGGAGAGCAGGGCACTGCAGCAGCTCCCCACGCAGCAGGAAGGTCCTGGATTTTTTCACTTGCATGTGGAATTTGGCCAGGAGGAGTTTTGCCCTCAGCTCCTGCAGCACATGAGGAGCACTGGTGGCAGGACAGCAGAGGCTCAGGCAGCCCCTGGTGGGACCTCTTCAGGCTGCAAGCCTTCCCCACCTCTCAAACTGCCAGGCTTGCAGCCTGGTCCCTGTCCTCCAAGGCCAGGTTGAAAGCTTCCCAGTTGGAGCAAATGGGATGAATGGAGGCTGCACCCTCTCAGCTGTCACTGCCAGTCCCTGCACGATGGTGCCTCTCCTGCCCACTGGTGGCTGCCCACGGAGAGGCTCCTGCCCCCCTGCACTGGAAGGCTGGGAGGGTCACGGTGGGCTGGTGGTGCCCTGAGCCCACAGCCAGCAGGTTGAGGCAGGGTGCAGGCTGCCCAGGGCTCACATCAGGACTAGTCACTGTGAGGTGCCTCTAGCCACTCATTTGGGGCAGCCCAGAGCACCCAGCTGTGGGGATAGTCTTCTGAGAAGGTGCAAGAAGAGGCAGAATTGTTCCTTGGTTTTGGAGACAAAGCAGCTCTCCCGGCTGGTGGGAGAGGGTCAGGTCCTGCTGACCCATGGCAACCCACAGGGGGTGTGTTGCAGGACACTCACCAAGGCCTGGTCGATGTCCTTCCTGATATCTGCCACTATCTGGGCATTGTCCCCCCGGGCCAGGACAGCATCCAGGGAGTGCTGCTGGATGGGCTCCAGCAGGCGCGCGGGGTGGCCCAGGCGCAGCAGGCGGGCTCTGCAGCCTGCCAGCCTCTCCACCAGGTTGTCCACTGCCACGTTGGAAGGGGCACAGCACAGGACCTGGGGGAGAAACCAGCTGCTTGTCACTGCTAAGGGCACTGGAGCAACACTGAGCAGAAAGACAAGGACCGACACATCTGAGGGGAATAACCCACTGGCAGCAAAGGCAACTCGCCCCCTGCTCTGAAGCACTAGTGCAAGGTCTCCACTAAACAGCAGACCTGAGCTCTGAAGCTTCTGTTTGCACCAGATTTCAGATGACAGGGGGACTGCCTGGTCCTTGAAAGTCAAGCCAGACCTGCAGTGTAGCACAGCTGCTGCTGGGCCTGCCCCAGCTGCCACCAGCAGGGGGTCTGCCAAACAAACCGAGGGGGTTGCTGTCACCCATACTCACTTTCAGGCCTTGCTGTACAGCTTGCAGGATGATCTCCACTAGTGTTGTTGTCTTCCCTGTACCAGGAGGTCCATGGACAATGGCAAGCTCCCTTTGTGCCAGTGAGAAGGAGACAGCCTCCCTCTGTGAGGCATCCAGGGAGTCATTGAAAAACTTGAGAGGCCCTGGGGACACAGGAGAGTCACTTGGACTTCAGCCTGAACTTGGGCACCACAAACCCATGAACACAATGAGGAGCTCTTGGTAGATGGCCCAAATTAAGCTGACAATAACCTGGGGAGGGAGGCACACTGTGCTGCACCATCCAGCAGGACAGGCAGGCCTCCCTGCTTCCCTGCCTTCCCCTCCTGTTGTGCAGGAGGAGAAACCCTTCAGTTGTGAGTACTGGAACTTTTCAGCATTTAAGGAGGCATTTACTTGATATAACATCTGTCATGTAGGATCTCCTGGGTGTGGAAGCTGCTCTGGATTTATTTTATTGGTAAAAACTTCAGTAAAAACTGGGGAGGAAGTAGCTGATCTTGCAAACAAATTGCTCCTGTTCCCATTAACAAACCCAGCACAGCACCAGTGAAAAGGCAGCAGGAAAAACTACAGCCTCTGTGAGCTTAGAAGAGCAGTCCTGTGTTTTTCAACAATCACTGAAAAGGAAGGCAGGAAAAAGATACAAACCAGCAATATCAATGATGGCAACTAAAATTAGTTGGGGCTTTAAAGATCAGAAAGGAAAAAAGGGAAAAGAATATGCAAATTGCATTACAAGAGAATTGGTTTCACTGCAGAAGACCAAATTCTCACAAGCTGTTTTTTACCTCCCAGATTTATCTAATTTAAACCCATATTTATTCTTATCCCCCATAATCCTGCTGCTAATCTCTGTGTTCGTTATGGAAGTTAATTACAGCAGAGTTGATGACTCACTGAGGTTTACTGAAAATAATGTTCCATGAAAGCTTATATAAGGCAAATCTCTGGGCATCCTGCCCTGCTAGGCATCATGTGCTTGATCCCCCTCTTTGGGCTTGATTAAAAGCATTTCAGTTTCTCCTGCCTTTGGGCAGGTTAACTGGTGTGCAACAAGTTAACACTCCCTGTAACCTCTGGCACTGCCCTCTGAAGCAGCACAAGCAAGTTGTCTGGGTTAAATACAAGTTGTTAAAAAGATGCTTGGGGAGGAAGAGAGAACAGCTCCAAGGGCACCTTTTCCTGGTAACCTGCCTCTTGATTTATACCTCTTTTTTGTGACCAAGAGAAGACTGGGAAGCACCCCACTGGCTGGGGAAAAAGAGAGAATAGCCTAAAAACTGAGAGGTATTTCCCACAAGGAGGAACAGCTGGGATGTAGGAGTCATTGATGTTTCCTTGTTGAAGGCAGGAGCTCAGAAACTGGCTCCTCCACAGCCTCTTCCCTCGTGGGCAGGTTGGAGCTGTGCCTGTCCCCTGGCTGGGCACTGCAGCAGGAGGGCAGGGCTTCTGAGGGTGCTGTGGCTTCTCTACACCCTTCACCCCCCAGCTGAGCTGCAGGTGGGCTCACCAGAAAAAAAATGCAGCTTACCCACCCCAGCAGGGCTGGCCCAAGAACTCTCTATAAGCCATTGGATTTATGAGCACAGCAAATACTTGCTTTACAAGCAGGATTTGTAGAGAAGCTCCCAGAGGACACCTGCTAGCCCAGCTCCAGCCCTGTGCTGGGGCCTCCTGCCCTGCCCAGGGCTGCCCACCCTAGCCCCCCCCAGCACAGCCTGTGGAGGGGATGAGGGTAAATCTGCAGGGATGGGTCCTAGTGATCAAGTAACTCAGCCTTTGATGTGCACCTTGATTTAGGAGTTCAGCACTGGAGAAAAGAATCACCTTGGCCATCAAGGTTGGTCGACCAACAACATTCCCAGGAACTGAGACAGTTTTCTGCACAGTACCAGCAGGTTCAGGAGAAGAAGTGGGTTGGAAGATGATATGCAGGCCCAGGAAAGGGGTCTTTGCACCAGACATGGATGGGAACAGTCCCTCCTGGGAGGAAGAGCTCAAGTTCTCCAGACCTGTAGGCCTCTCATTTCTCAAAGGCTGTTCCTCACCATCAGTGTGCACAGGCAGCAAGAGCAAACCAGGCTCCACAACCAGCTCCTCCACAGCCCAGCTCTGAGGGACAGCACCCAGGTGGATGATGGCCTGGAACAAAGCACTTTTCCTGGTCTCCCTAAGGAATCACCTGGCAGCTGAGCTGTCTGGACTCCTTAGTTTGCCCCATAAATCTCAAGGGCCTCCTGATGGCTTGTGATGACCAGAGGTACCACATGGCAGAGACATGAGGAACATTGAAGATTTTTGCAAGTGACTTGTCACATGCACTGGACTTAAGCCAAGGAGCTGAGGGGTTTTTGCTGGTGCTTCCCTAGTGCCCTCCCTACTGAGTCAACCTTTACTGGGACACCCCTGCCTGTTAACCAGGCTTTTTTCCTTCCTCCTTTCTCTTTCCAAATGTCTTTTTACAGCAATAGGTGTAAGTAGATAGAAGCCTTTCAGCCTCCACACAAGCCAGCCAGTGTCTGGGCACAGGGATGAACAATCCTTGGCTGCTTCTGGACCAGGACACAGGAGGGAGCTGGTGGCTGCTGGTGACCTGCAGGGTCACACCTGCAATAAGGAACAGCCTGATCTCTGAAAGGAAAGGGAATGTGTCTGTGCAGCTTGGCTGGCCTTGGGGAGCACAGCAGAGTGATGCTGGCCTCTGCTGGCAACCACAGCCTCTAGTCATCCACCCCTGGGTACACTTTCCCAGACTTGAAAAATCAGATTTAGGATTCTGCTGCTGCACACATCACTTGCTGGAGATTGTTTTGCCCTTGGGAGAACATCCTTGAACATCCAGGCACAGAACTGGGTGCTTATGACTTCCACTGACCCTTCTGCTCCTTGGTCTCCTTGTAATTAGGTCCTTCCCCACTGTCTGTACAGGGGTGGTGGCAGATGTTCCCCTTCTAGGTGTGGATCCCACCTGCTCTGGGTTTTCCCTGCAGGAGTGTCAGGAAGAGCTTCTTCACTGGCTGGTGTTTATGTGGCTTCATCCCTACCCCTGGAAGCCTTCTGGGCTTCTGGCTGAAGTGGAGATTTTACTGCAGCCTGGAATGTTGTTAGCACTGAAGTGTGTCTAGGGAGGCAGCTTTATGAGATGTACAGAACTTGTTAACTCTAAGGCTCATGATGGGTTTGTCTGAGATCAGATCATGGGTGGGATGAGGCACAGGAAGGCATCTCCCCAGGAAACCTGGTAAAAGATGCTTAGTCATGAAAGGAGATACTGTGCCCTGGAGGGGAAGCAGCCTGAAGTGCTGTGGGGGTTTTGTGTCCTTCTGTCAGAGCCTGCACCTGGGAATCCCATGGGATCCCAGGCTGCCTCCTGCAGACAGTGCCCCCAGCTGTGAGTTCCTGCACTTTGCAGAGACAAGTCCCATGTCCTGTGGTGTGTGGGACACCAGGGAGCTGTGTGTGCCATCACACAGGTGTAGGAGAAAGGCTGTGTCCAGCCAGCTGCTCAGCACCTTCCCCTCCAGCTCAGCTCAGGGCACCTCACAGGACCTGCTGAAGTCACTGTGAGTTAATCCCTGGCTGGTCCTGGCTGGGCAGGAAGGAGCAGGGAAGGCTGCTTCCCCCTGCCAGAGCCTTCAGCTGGTCTCAGGTGGCAGTGGATCTGGCAGTGGATCTGGCAGTGGATCTGGCAGTTCTCAGTGTCGGGGAGAGAAGAAACTCATCTTTGTGCTTAGTCTGGCACCCCTGGGAGGTTTGAGGAAAAGGAATTTGTCTTTGTTAGGGAGGCAGCTCCTCTACTACAGAGGAAAAGTGGAGCTGAAGCTGCTGAGGAAGTCAGCTCATTAAAATTCAGTCCTTTTATCTAATACTGAAACCCTGAGGGCACCAAGGTCCCCTGGTAGCTCAAAGCAGCTGACTTCCTGCCCTGATTTTGGCAGCCCAGGTGAGATTTCCCTCCTGTCAGAGGCCAGTGTTCACCAGCAGCTGCTGAGCACTTGGCTGCTATGGTGCTCAGGGGCTCTGGCCTCCCCACAGCTCCTCTCAAAGGGCAAGCTGTGCCATTCCAGCTTTCATTTTATCAAAGACTCACAGCAAAAAAGATCTGAGTAAAAAGGGATTCTACTGGTATGCAACTGTTTGGACAGCTGTTGTTATAAGCCAAGTGGTGAGGTTTTAATGAAACCAAAGCAGCCTGCAGGTCTCCAACCTGACTGAGCACAGCCAGGAGGCTGTAAAAATAAAAATCCAAGTGTTCCCATGCTGCTCTGAACTGCAGCAGTTCCACAGCCACTTAATTCCTCTGGAGGCAGAGCTATTGGATTTTCAATATAGAAGCAGTGCTGGCAGTTTCTGATCAAGTTTATGGAGGTAAGAAGCAAATAGGAAATGCTTCATAAACAAAACTGAATTTCAGACTGATGAGTGTGTGCAAGCAAATGCTCCCATCCCAAATCCTGCCTGAATTCATCTTTGCTGGGTACCCTGAGGAAAGTGCACATCAGGCAGCTGAGCATCCCCATAAACCAGCATGAAAAGTAACACTTGGGTCTTCCCTGGAGCAAAACAAGCTGCATGTTTGGGGTGGATAAAACCCCAAGTTATGTGTCCCCACAGGTTTTGGACTGAGAGCCCAGGGGCCCTTCCCTGCCCCAGGGGAATGAAACCCTACCAAGAAGCATCCTTACTTGTTTCACTGGCTGTGCTGGGAGCAGAGGTGAAGAAGAGGACATCGATCAGGGCAGAGGCTGGACCCCCAGGGTACTGCTGGAGTGCACACAGAGCTCTGCCAGGGAGGGAAACAGCCAGGTGAGACACACCCTAGGGCTTGGGGACAGACTCTGGGCACAGACTCAGCTCTTCCAAAGCTGGAAATGTTACCCCACACCAGACTAATGCTGTCTAACTGCTGCACCCCCAGCCCTTCCCCACACTGCTCAGAATCCCACTTTCCAGTGTCACTCCAATTGGATGCAGCCAGAACCGTGTGCTGAGCCTTTTCAGCACAGCAGTTCAGCAAGGAGCCATTCCCTTCTCCTGCCAGGGTGGAAAAGGCTCAGCACAGAATCCAGTGAGTGCCAGAGGTGATGCAACACGGGACCAAAATATGCAGCTGAGTGTGGGATGAGGGGTGGGAGAGGAAGAGGGAAGAGTTGGGACCATCCCAGGCAGTTGTGATGCTGCAGCACAACGTATCCAGTTGAGTTATCCCAGTCTGGGCTCCCCCAGTGGCCAGCAGGGAAAGAAAGGCCCCTCCAAAAGGTGGATCCCTCCCGAGTGGAGCTGCTGTAGGAGTCAGGAACAAGAGAGGAGACAAACTGCCCTGGTGAAAGGGGAGCTCTGGCCCCCAGGAGCCTTTCCAGAATGAACCTGACATTCCCAGGGGCCCCTGAGCAGTGGCAGGGGGGGACAGCAGCCCCGTGGCACTCACCTCTTCAGCCTGCTGTAGGTGACATCGTTGGCCAACTTCAGCAGGCGGTAGCAGCCCTCCCAGCCCAGGCTGGAGGGGCCCTCCCTGCAGTCCTCAAAGGCCACTGTCACAGCCTGGGGGGTGACACGGGTCACCACCCCAGTGCAGAGCAGCTCACCCCGGCCAGCTGAGTCGTACAGGCCCACGATGTCCCCTGCAGAGACAGGTCTGGGCTGAGAGTGTGAAGCAGGGCAGACATTCTGACCACCCTCCCTGCTGTCAGGGTTTACCCCTGGCCAGAACCCAGTGCCAGGTGCTCTGCTGACCCCTCTTCCCTTCCCAGAAAGAGAACAGACAAGAGGGACTCCTGGGCTGGGAACTAAACTGCAGCTTTAGTGGAAGCAACAGTGATGAGATAGAAAACCCTGCAACAGATAGAACCAAGCAGAGTGCAGTGCAGGCAGCAGGGCCACCTGCAGCTCAGCACCCTGTCCCCTGCCAAGGGCCATGAGGAAGGAGAACACCCCTCCCAGATGGGAGAGGGACCAGCAGCAGCAGGAAGACACCAACCAGCACCCAACCCATTGCCTCAGACCTCCCCAGGTGTGGGCTGGAGCCCAGCAGTGCTCCTCACAGCCCAGGAAGGCAACACACCTTCACAACCCTCGGGACAACCTGACTGCTCTGAACCCTCACACACAACACTTCACACCCCTTTTAATGTTAAGAGTAGCCAAGGAGCCTGCCTGGCAACCTGTGCCTCCCAGGTGACTGCTGTGCAGCAGCCAGCAGAACTCAGAGCACTGGCTTTCCAGCTGCAGCTTCTGCAGCTGCTGGGAGATGGCAAAGGAGTCAAATCACAGGTGTCAGGAGGGCACAGGGTTCCCCAGCAGATAAATGAGCTTGTACTTCAGCCAGGGCTTATACTGAGGATTACATTTCAGGTGAAGGAAGCTTTCCTCCATCAGCCCTGGCTGTGTTTTCAGGGATGGGATGGGATGACAGAAGGTGGGACACAAGTGGGCAGAGTGCTGGCTGCTGTGCTGGGGAGTCTGTATTTCTCTAGTTCCTGCATTTCCAAGAGAAATCCCACTACTGATGGAATGTGTTTCGCTTCTTCCCTTGCCAAAAGTGACAGCACAGGAAAGGCAGGAATATGGCAGCTTGGGAAGGAAAACAAAAACCCCATTTTGAAATTAAGTGTAAGTGACAAAAGCTCCTTGCCTGCTCCAAGACCTGAGCATGGCCACCTCAGCTTGAGGAAAGAATGCCCATAACTCTTAGTGACAGGAGAGCAGGGCTTTGGTTTTTATGGCTTCAGCAGCAGGAAGGGTTAGGGTAACCCTAGGCTTAGGGTTTAGGCTTAGGGTAGCTCTCTGGCCACTGCTTCCTAGTCCCACACAACACTTGTCACAAGCTGAGGGGAAAAAGGGGCTGCCTGTCTCTAGCTTCACCCTGTAGCCACGAGGTTTTTCTCCCTTCCTCTTCTGCATCAGGTGCCCGTGGCACATGAGAAGGGCTGGGTCACCTCTTGAGCTGCTTCACCCCGACAGGAGTGAAGCCCTGTTACTCACCAGGCCCGAAGCTGTTGCAGGGCAGCCCGGGCTGTGTCCGGGGCTGGAA